CAATGCAAACGGTACCATCATTGATCAGGATGAACAATAAACAATCACTAAGACGCCGGATGAGGTAAAATTGGACGGAACCCGTGGTGTAAACATTTGGACTAATGTAATGGTGTGGGTGGCTTAATGATTGAGCTATAGAATGGATGCATAGGTAACTAAGATGTTTAAATTGTGTTGTTGCTTCTAGAAAATGAAGGCGAAGCTGGTATTGATGTTTTGGATATAGTTTTATGGGAAAAAAGTCATCGAGTGACTGCTCCCGCCTGGGTGAGGCGGGAGGGAGTGTCAGACTCTTACTGACTAAAAACCACCCCGTTCCTTCTCCTGCACGTCGAGCCGGAGCCCCGGTTACCCGTTAGGTTCTCCGCGACTCCGAATCGGCATCAGCCTTATTGGGCTCCATCCGTGGTGGTCTGATGGGTCTTTGAGGCGCGCGCGGAACGCGACGCGCCGTACGCTCGGGTCCGCAGGCCCGCGCAGTTTTGTGGGGTTAGGAAATCTGTTGGCATAATAATTTGTAAAGGCAAATGTTTTTTTGAGCTGTTGGTGTTAATTTTCGAGCTATGCTATGTTCAATGGACAATTATCTTTCTATGAATAGATGATAGATATTGTTCAATATTTTGAACAGGAATAAACTCAGAAACGATAGAACTGTTTTGTACAGAGGTTCAGGATCAGAACTTAATATACATTCAAGAGAACTGGCTCTTGAATTCCAAGAGGGTAACATCGTTGTTGAAATGTTAATCGTATAGTCTATATTTAATATTTAACATAACATAACATAACATCATGCCTTTTATCCCCGAAGGGGTAGACAGAGGTGCACATTATACCACTGTACAATGTAACACCCACTTTTGACTTTTTATGTTATGACTCCCATGTAATAGGGGGTGAGCCTATTGCCATATACCGGGCACAATTCCAGACTCCGTGCTACTACTGAGATTTTTTTTAAATCCAGTAATACTATGCCCGAGTGTAACGAGGCAGTCGATTTAATATTTTGAATGGACAATAACAGTTCCCACTCTATAATTAGCTACGTAGTAACACATATTAGCAAAAAATAATATTTGGTGACAACGAAACAGTATCTGGCACAAGGTCCACAACCGTGCCAGACTAACAACTGCTTTGTGGGCTAGATACACAGATTCACTCACTGCTAATCACGCTAAATACTCTTTGACATGACAATTTGTCTTCCACTGATTATTTATAATAAGTATTTTAGTGCTTTGCAAGGACCTGGTCTTTCCCAATTATTTGTATGACATACATAACATACATAACATCCCGCCTTTTATCCCCGAAGGGGTAGACAGAGGTATATATTATACCACTGTACAATGTAACACCCACTTTTCACTATTTATGTTATGAGTCGCATGTAATAGGGGGTGAGTCTCTTGCCATTTACCGGGCCCAATTCCAAATTCCGTGCTACTACTGAGAATTTTTTAAAACCCAGTAATACTTTGCCCGACCCGGGAATCGAACCCGAGACCCCATGCTCGGCAGTTGCACTTGCGACCACTCGGCCAGCAAGGCAGTCCTTTGTATGACTAATAGCTAATAATAGGTGTACAGTGTTAAAACATAGTTTTAACTATGTTTACGCATATGCCTTCGTCAATTCACAGACTATAGGAGATTTTTCTCGAATGTATAAAATCAAAGTCATTAATTTATTTAGTGCTACAATTAGGTGCATTTGTCAAAATTTAGTTGTCCGTCAGTCTGTCTGTCAGTGAAGCTAGTTGATTATTGAGTGATCCTGTAAGAATACTTATAAAGTTTTTCAAATCGGTTTAACCGCTTGAATGCCTGTATATGAGACACAATAGAAAATGCATTGTGTCTCGCGTGGATCCACGTTTAGACACACGACGGGCTTTTTTTTTTTAAGGGGGGAAAATCATCGAATGACTGCTCCCGCCTGGGTGAGGCGGAAGGGAGTGTCAGACTCTTACTGACTAAAAACCACCCCGTTCCTTCTCCTGCACGTCGAGCCGGAGCCCCGGTTACCCGTTAGGTTCTCCGCGACTCCGAATCGGCCACACGACGGGCTAGTAGTTAGTTTTTGAGCTTATTACAAACATATTTTTATTTCTCTCGTTGGCCGAGTGGTCGCAAGTGTGACTGCCGGGCAAGGGGTCTCGAGTTCGATTCCCGGGTCGAGCAAAGTACAACTGGTTTTAAAAAAATTCTCAGTAATAGCACGGAGTCTGGAATTGTGCCCGGTATATGGCAATAGGCTCACCCCCTATTACATGGGACTCATAACATAAATAGTGAAAAGTGGGTGTTACATTGTACAGTGGCATAATGTGCACCTCTGCCTACCCCTTCGGGGATAAAAGGCGTGATGTTATGATGTTATGATGATGATTTTTTTTCTTTATATCTGTGTCTTATTCAGTATATTAGTTTTAGTGATAAGTGCGATAAATGTTTATTCCAGTCATTGTAATAATAGACAATAGTTTACATGGTTTCCATATTCTGCATTATTTTCTTAAGACGTTTACCATACCATACCATAGATACCTTACTTAATACAATATAAATCCTCAGTCACTAATTTCATTTAAAACAAGAGATTACTTCACCATAGTTTCCTGGTTGACACAGAAATATTATCATTTGCCGTAAAAGTATTGTCCACACATATTTTATCCGCATCTGACGTCATTATGGAGTATTGTCAGCAATTGTTTTGATTGATAAATCAATAGTGGTATGGGATCTAGAGTACAATGCCCTTTGCTGTAGAGAGAAGATGAAAGAAATGAATTTTTTATTATATTAAGAACTAGCTGTTGCCCGCGACTTCGTCCGCGTAGAATAATGTCTTCTGGCAGAATTTAAGCTTTTGAATTAGTTTTTATCAAGGGATATTCTACGGTAATGAATGCCGTCAGAATTGATTCAGTCCCGTAGATGGCATCGTAATAATATGTAGTCTATTATGTTGACCCGACCTGTAAGTAATATTCATGCAAAATTTAAAGTAAATCTATGCAGTACTTTTTGAGAACATCCTGGACATACAGACAAAAATTCTAAAAAACATATTTTTGGCTTCGGTATCGATTGTAGATCACGCCCTAAGTATTCTTTTTTTTAATATTCAATGTACACTTTTGGCTTTTCTACGATTCTATTATATGTATAGGCTAGCTAGACGAACTGATCAAGGTTGCTGGGAGCTGCTGGATGCAGGTCGCTTCCCACCAGCCTATCTGGAAGTCATTGGGGGAGGCCTATGTTCAGCAGTGGACGTCCTATGGCTGATATGATGACGATGATAAAGAACTAGCTGTTATCCGGGTTTTGTCTATGTAGGTCGTAAAAGAAGAAAGGTCTCCTATATCACTCTACTTTCCTCATTTTTAAAAACCGCTCCGTAGCGATGTGAAAGGAATTTAACAGTTTCTGTTTTATAATATTAGTAACGAATCATTATCTGCAACAGAAATATTTCTGCTGTAGAACTAAAAACTCTTTAGTTGGGGATTGCCATAATTTAACCTATGAGGCTATGATTCACAGGAGACTGGGTTCCTTTTATCTAAGATACGGTTGCCTACATCAGTGTGACTCGTTCTTGAACAATAATTTTAGAGTATATAATATATCTAAAGACCCGACTGAATATTTTGCTTATGGGTCGACGTGTTCCATCGTAGACCGCATCATCGCTTACCAGGCGAGATAGTGGTCAAACGTCGCCCCATCAAATATAATAAAAAAAAATCTTACGTTCCAATCATGTCCTTGTTGTTGAAATGAAAATTGAATATCACTACCAAAAATTTCCATCCACATTACGCCGACGTCATCTCGTATTTCCCACTTTCGTTAGATGCTGAGCGTTGAGTACAATAGATATACATGATGTATTTATAACTATTGCTACGTATGTATGTATACAGACAATTAGTAGTCAGTTTATTGTAGTTCTGTCAGTACCAGCGATGAGAGAACTCGTGTCACAAGTTCATAACTACAGCAATAAGTGAGTGAATATTACCATTATAATAAATATAATAGTTCGTTAGTTTCTGTGTATGTTTATTACTCAATTATGTCACGTAGGCTGAAGGGATCGAGATGAAATTTGTGATAGAGAAAAATATAATATGGTCTTGAGTAACATATAAGGTATTTTTTTACTCATGGGAACGCGGGTAAAGCGGTTGATAGAAGCGAGTCGATAGATTATTTTCCTGATTTTATTTATTTATTTGTGTTATAGGTAGAAAAATGCTTTTGTGATGTAATGAACGCATTTCTTCAATTGTTTTTTTATTGAATGTCTTTTGCTTTGTTTTATTATTGTTTGAAGTGTTTTGTTTTGTTTGTGTAGTTATTATAGTATTATTATAGTTACGTATGGTCGTAATCTAGATTATCTAATCCAATATTTGTTTACACGAAAATGTTATTTGCATTTTATTGTTGTTATTACGAATGCTAATGTAGTTTTGTGATCATTAGATTATGTGGATAATTATAGTTAGGTAATCCTAGGTACAGATTAGTTGCTATAATCTCAGTTTATGTCGAATTTTCGGACTATATACTATTTTGTTCGGGTTTGTGGGTAGGAAAAATAAATACAGAATACATTATTAAAATTGCAAAATCATTAAAAAAAATCTTGTAGGTAGTGCTGTGTCTTCGGACATCTCGTAACGATAACACATTTTTATATTTTTTTGATTAAATATTATCGTTAATTAAAATTAAGATCTTATGCAATTGTATAAAACAAATAAATAAATAAAAAATAATATTATTAATTTTTTTTAACTATTTTGACAGCTCTATTTCCATATTTTGACAGCTAAACCTGACGCCATCTTTGTTTTTGTTACAGATACAAAACAGCGCCCACAAAATGATACCACACGCAGTATGACGATTGAGAAGTGATGCAAAAAGTGTTGAACAGTGAACAGTGACTCTTGGACTGTGTACCTATGTGTGAGAAAGTGTGCAATAGTGGTAAAATGACGAACATTACTCCTGAGACAAGGATCATGATGATGCGGTCTAATGATGGAAGGAATAGTTATAGGCGACAGGTCAGTTATTTGAACTTGTTATATTAAAATTAACTATTACTAAATTAATAATAAAATATATACAACTTAAGATTAAAATTATATAAAAGAAAAAGCAAAATTATTATTTAAGCTTTTATTGGAAATTTAACTTGTTATTATTCTGTTTGACATATTCTACTTTTTATTCCACGGGAACGCGGGTACAGCTGGTGGCAGAAGCTAGTTAGGCATAATAACCTTAGTTCCCTTTACGACCTATCAACAAACAAGAGACTACTCTGTAGATTTTGTGTATTAGAGTAAAGATATTTTCATAATGAGTTCTATAAAAATTGTGTAGATATTAGGTATAATATTGTGTCTACCCACTTTGTGTCTTACCCACACGTCTTGTCTATACAAGACACGCATAGTCTTTAAGGATATCATTTTAAAAGGATTTAGTTTACAGATTGAGTTTGACAGTTGTATAAAAATATTGTTTACGATTCTTGTTATAATAATTACGCGAAGTTATTTAAAGTGACACAGTTTTGTATTTCCAGTTTTTACAAAAACACCAACTATAATTTCGTATTACAAAAACTCAATAAAATAGTTTCCCAAAAGAGATATCAATGTACAAATTCAACGTGTTCGGAATCACTGCCACCAACCAATTAATGAAAACCTACAATAAAACTTCCAAAACATAATACCGTGACATCGCTAGTATTTTTATCACAAATCCCATAAAATTGTCAGCTTTTCCTAACACGACACCTTTTACGATCTTTCTCCATTTCCTACATCTATGACACACTTACAAATGCGTGTGGCGAAACCCCGAACTAAAATTAAATGTATTGAATTTGACAGTTTCGTAAACAATTTCCTTTACTGACAGCGCCACCGTGAAACGCAACGCTAAGTGTGTCAGTCTAATGAGACATATCAGTTGACAGCTGTCATTTAAACGTCACGATTTTTGATGAGGTTTTCAGTTGATTGCAATACTTGCATGTTTGAAATAGGAAAGGTTATTATGATATATGCTACATTGTAGTTAAGTTTATTGATTTCAAAATTCACACACACACACACACACACACACACACACAAAATACTTAATTCACATACTCATCACATTCAGAGCCGTTAATGCCACTGTACAATATAAAACACCCACCTTGTACAATTTATGTTATGGGTCTCATGTAATAGGGGGTGAGTCAATTGCCATATACCGGGCAAAATTCCAAACTCCGTGACACTACTGAGATTTCTTTTAACCCTTTGAGTACCGTTTTAACAGTCAGAATTAACCCTTTGAGTACCGTCATTAGGTTGCGGTCATCGGAGTGCTCGCGGTGTTTGACAGTTTAAAACCCAGTAATACTTTGGCCGACCCGAGAATCGAACCCGAAACCCATGGCCCGGCACTTGCGACCACTCGGCCAACGAGGCAGTCTTCTGAATCTAAATTCAATCATTCAGTTTTCTAAATTCTTTTCCATTTAAAACAGCGTTGTCAAGGAAAACGATCACAAACATTAATCTACAATGATAAACCTATTAATACAGTCAAAACAGGTGCATCACAAGCTAATAACCATTCCATTCAAACTTTCATACAATTAAACTATTTTTAAACCCGGAACTTTAATACTTATATTTAATAACACTAATAAATTATAGCTCCCAACTTAATTACTACAAAATTAATATAATAATAATCAATTTTAATACAAAATTACACACATTAAAAATTCGTTTCGCAATCTGTCAAATTCAGTGACAGTAACACGGACCATCACTAAGTTGCCATGTGACTAATATCATATAACTTCTATTTCTGTGTCACTAAAGTTCAATATCCAATAACAGGAACGAGGAATTAAATTTGTCAACACCAAATTTTTATTTTGCAGTGTTAGTGGTTCTTATTTAGTTGAGATAGGGTGTGGTTTGGGTTGATTGAGATGTGTTGGTAATTTTGTTTGAAGGGGATAGAATGTATGGCAGTGTGTCGGTCACTGACCCCTCCAAATGTTAGGAGTCTAGCGGACGCTTTCTGATAGAACAAGTAGGGTTGTCCCCGGGAAATTTATCGAGGTCGATAATAGCGGCCGAAATAGAATATGGGTTAGGGATGTCGAAATTAATCGGTGACACAGTTTTGATAAGGGATTGCGTAAATTTTTTTTTACATTTTTTATGATAACCCGTCTGTCAAGTAGTGTTCATTGTTTATAATCAACATATTATTTTAATTAAGTCATTTATGTGTTGTGTATATCTTTTCTTTGAGATTCTTTATTAACTGTATAGTTATGTATGAGATAACAAATGAAACCGCTAGATACTGCTAAAGATTTTTTTTTTACAATTTTTTCAACAGATCACTAAACATTAAATCGTTTTCTTCACTATATTTTGAGTGCTAAAATCCTATACAAAAAACAACATCAACGTATGTCACACCTCGATATTGAATTATCGACACACCGTGCGACGCACATCACTAGCCCACAATTCACACATGGTGCCCGACAAAGCGATCAATAATGCCATGTAGTGTAGGTATATCTGTGTGCACCGGGGCTACACATCAAGCCATCCAAAACCAGTATAAACTGACCGTGGAACGCGTGCAAAGATCATAAAAAACGGGACCATGATAAATTGGTACTTACATTGACAACCAGCATAAACTGGCCGTTCAATGTACCGAATGATGTTATAAGACGGGACCATGATATTCTGGTTTTGTATAGCTCCATGTGTGTCTGTGTCCCGTAACATTTTGTACCTTAACATGTACCATGGGACATAGTACATTTGTCTCATAAACCAGGACGGGATGAAAAGAAAGTTGGTACATTCCGGTAAAATAATAATAATGTCGACAAAATATTCGATTGGATGGGTAGGTAATAAAATTCTTAGTGATGTTGTTAAGATTTGGGTATTTTTATCGATTTTTGTATCGTAAATATTATATCAACTCTTTATGGTGTTCAATGGTTAATAAGTCTGACACTCGCTCGACCCAAGGTGGGAGAAATCATTGGACGATATTCATTATTCACCATCAAAAAAAAAAGATGAGAACATCAACATGGAAGATGATTATCTGAAGTTTCCACTTCTCATATTTGTTTCCGATCCAGTGAATAAAACATCACGAAAATCGACACAGCCATTCTCTAGATGACACAGCTCACTCAACAAAAGAGTATAACAAACAATTGCTCAACCAACACTAGACATGGAATAAAAACTCCTTGTTGAAACTACTCATCATTCCTGCATAGCCACCAACCACCTAAGGAACGCGAGGAAATTGTCCAGCGACACCAAAGCTACTGAGCCGGTTTTTAAACTACAGACACTCCTGAGCGGTTACCTTAATGAGGGCCTATAAATCCTAGGCACTTCCTACATTGCCTAGGTGCCTAGGAAATACATGGCTAATGTGGTTGGTTAGATGAGTGATAGATGCTATCAGCTTGGTGTTCATTTTTATTAAGTTTTGTTGATATTAAATAAGGCTAGTTTTTGCAAGTGGATTTGTCTGGGATAAATAGCCTATACTGCTCGTTGGCCGAGTGGTTGCAATTCCCGGGTCGGGCAAAATAATTACTAGGTTTTAAAAAAATTCTCAGTAGTAGCACGGAGTCTGGAATTGTGCCCGGTATATGGCAATAGCCTCACCACCTATTACATGGGAATCATAACATACATAAATAGTGAAAAGTGGGTGTTACATTGTACCATGACATTAAGTGCCGTAATTTGCACCTCTGCCTACCCCTTCGGGGATAAAAGGCGTGATGTTATGTTATGTTAAAAATAACCAGAAATTGATACCTATTTACACACAACTTCCAAACCGTACAGACAATAATTTACTTAATTATCAAAATGACAGGAAAAGGCGGCGCTGCACTAGTTTGTCTATGAAATGTCACAACACTTGTAGCTGACCAAATTATAAGCTATCACTTCTTAATGCACGTCTATTAGAATCAATTTGTAAAGCAACTGGTTCACGCCTGAGGCTGTAGAATGGAGTTTTGGTTGATTCGTGGCATTTCATAAAAACGGCCGTAAAACATTTTATCTGTTTTTATTTAGTTGGTAACTGACTTCTGGAAGTAGCTTCAACATGAAAAGTAGCATAACACATAACATAACATCACGCCTTTTTATCCCCGAAGGGGTAGGCAGAGGTGCACATTTCGGCACTTAATGCCACTGTACAATGTAACACCCACTTTTTACTATTTATGTTATGAGTCCCATGTAATAGGGGGTGAGCCTATTGCCATATATACCGGGCACATTTTTCCAGACAGTAATACTTTGCCCGGCCCGGGAATCGAACCCGAGACCCCTTGCCCGGCAGTCACACTTGCGACCACTCGGCCAATGAGGCAGTATTGGTATAGATGTCACTGTATGTATTGGTATATGTCACATAGGCTACTTTTTATCCTTTTGTGACGCGAGCGAAGCCGCGGGTAAAAGATAGTTTAGAATAATCGAAATTATCTCAGAAGGTGGTCTTCATTAAACTGTCAAACACCAAGCGGTCACCGGTGACCGCGACCCATTGTTCTTTAATTGTGTCTATAAAACCGGTACTCGACGAGTTAATACCTGCTATTATAAAACTACTTATTTTGTGCTCTAATTTAAACAAATGTATAAAAAGATTTTATATAATTACACTTTTGAATATCAATTATGTCTAAGATAGTATTATTTGTATATCATTAAACCATTAAAACGGGATGTTTAGTAAGTTACCTTCATTACTTCTTTTAAGTTTCCGGCATTAAGAGATTGCTAAATTCATAATTGAAACATCATGAAACTGTAGATAAACTCCACACCTTGCCTTTAGCCAAACGCCACTTTAGCGCTTGTCCACAGAGAGAGTAGAAAACTAAATGTATGGGGACACTGACAAGTGTCAAAATTTACGTCAATTCCATATAATTTGGTTTTCTATTCTACATGTAGACAAGCGCTAAATGGCATTTGGCTATAGCTGCATATTACATTTCGCTTCTTGAACTAAATTCTATAAATAAAAGAAGAAATGCCCAAATCGATGAAACATTTGACAACCAAGAAATGCTTTTAACTTATCCTCGAAGGGGTAGGCAGAGGTGTACATTACGACACTTAATGCCACTGTACAATGTAACACCCACTTTTCACTATTTATGTTATAAGTCCAATGTAATAAGGGGTACCGGACACAATTCCAGACTCCGTGCTACTACTGAAATTTTTTTGAAAAAACCTAGTACCTACCTAGACCGGGTACAAAAGTAACATTTTTTACTTTTACTTTGATTTCTGGTTAGATGTGATTATTATATAGAAATGAATATAACAATGTAAATATTCCATTTATGATCTTTACATTGGTATCTCAATTTCACTTTTTATTGTTCATTAGATATGAATCACAGAGACTCGAAAAAAAATTAGAAGTTTTTAAATAAAATAAAATAAAAATAAAACAAATATAACAATACTTTGCCCGACCCGGGAATCGAACCCGAGACTCCTTGACACTTGCGATCATTCGGCCACCGAGGCAGTGCTTTTAACTGACTTATAACCAGAAGTGGAGACAAACGGGCTAATGATGACATATTTAATCTCAAAGTAGTTCTTTACATCTCTATCTATCCATTTGAGGATGTCGCGGAGAACCTAACGGGTAACCGGGGCTCCGGCTCGACGTGCAGGAGAAGGAACGGGGTGGTTTTTAGTCAGTAAGAGTCTGACACTCCCTTCCGCCTCACCCAGGCGGGAGCAGGCATTCGATGATTTTCCCCCTTAAAAAAAAATCCATTTGAGGATTAAGAGTAGTCTACATTCATTGATAGTTTTCTAACCCACTATCCACAAGAGGAGCAGGTCAAACGAGACAGTTTACAAGTGTGTCGTGACAGTACACGCAACACATGGTGCCAAACTATCTTGTAAACGTTCACCGATTTGTTTACAACTCCACGATTGATGTTTGCACTTTGTCATTGACATTATGCTTTAATACTTATTGGTTTTATTACCAACAGCGGCTCATGGCAATCTACTGCTAGACTATAGGCTAGACTTTTACTTTTATTTTTTTAATCATCGAATGTCTGCTCCCGCCTGGGTGAGGCGGAAGGGAGTGTCAGACTCTTACTGACTAAAAACCACCCCGTTCCTTCTCCTGCACGTTAGGAGTAGGAACCCCGGTTTTTACTCAGTAAGAGTGTGACACTCCCTCCCACCTCACCCAAGCGGGAGAAGTCATTCGATTGTTTTTCCCCCTTAAAAAAAGACTATGTTATGTGCCTCCTTTACTTAAGATCTTTACTTGCTTGATAGGTTAGACATTGCAATTTGATTAGGTTCGGATTTATCAAAGAGCGCTGCTGCCTAGTCTTTATCAAATACTAGCTTTTACCCGCGGCTTCGCTCGCGTCACAAAAGGATAAAAAGCCAATGTGACATATACCAATACACACAGCGCCATCTATACCAATACTTTTGTTTTCCCTCGGGAATATCAAATTGTTCCGGGATAAAAAGTACCCTATTATTTAATCCAGACTTCTAACTATACATCTGCAAAAATTCAAAGCAATCGGTTTAGTAGTTACGGCGTTAAAGTGGAACAAACAAACAAATTCACTCTCCGATTTATAATATAAGAAAGGATCTATATGTAATCCCTTACGAAATCCACGGGAACAGTAGCGATGGTAGCATAATATAATATTTTACTCTGCTTTTATCGCACAACAACAACTGTATAATTTTATTGTTTATTTAAGCATATTTAACCTGATCATTTTTAAATCCATTCTTTCGCTCACAGATCTTGGCGGCTCTTGCGGTCTCCCTGGGTCCTTTCGCCGCAGGGCTCAGCAAAGGCTACATGTCTCCAGCGATAGCCTCGATGCAGGACACCAGACCTCATGATGGAGGGTTCACCGTCAGCGACCAGCAGGCCAGCTGGATTGCCAGTCTTAGTTTATTGGGTAAGTGGAAAATTTGATTATTTATAAGTACAGGACACTCTATGACTGTGGTGGTCTATGTTGTTATTTCGATTGATTTAATAAAATATGTATATTTACCGTTGTTCAAAAAGTTGTAGGTATGAAATAATTATCTCTGGGTGGCACTAACTTCAAATGACACGTTTTGAATACCCAAAAATTAGGTGCGCCAGTATTGCATTTCTTTATTCGTTGTTTATTTTTAACTTTACTTCAATTTCATTAGGACTTTAGCTCTAGCAGTAAATGATTTTGCATTGCAAACAAGCAAAAGGTAAAGTCAAAGTCAAAGCATTTATTTCAATTAAACCATAGTTTGGTACTTTTGAAACGTCAACAAATACAAAATAAATAATAGTCTGTCAGACAGTCCGTCAGTGAAACTAGGTGAAGCTAGGTGCTCATTCCAAAATGTAGATTCGAATGGAGAAGAACAAGCAAGCAACTCCATTCGTTACTCTTTTAAAAAAGTATGTTCTACAATGTCTCAGGTTAGCCTTTTCAACGAAATATACCAAAGTAAAGTAGCTATGAAAGCCATTAACAGCTTCAGTACCGCTCCATTCTCCATGGCAATACTTGTGACAATCCATTCAGCATTCAAACGAAGGTTTTTTCAATCCAACCCGTTATTACCATTGTTTGAACCTTATTGTTAACGCATGTATTGGTACTAATTCGATTTTGTTTACGAATGTACATAAATCGATTGAAGGCGACTCGAGTGCAGTGGGACAATCGAATAGGGTTCTAGTATACGAGTGCTTTGGAATTTTCAATTCGATTGCGAAGTTTTTTGGCTTTTGTTTTTTTTTTTTGATGTTGCTAATAGGAAACTGCAGGTTTTTACGTGTAGAAGTATTTTAAAACACGTACCGAGTTCTAACTAAAAACTTTATAATTTTTACAAGCAAACTAGCAAACCCCGCGAACTCCGTTTCGCCACCAGATGGCTTCGTTTTATGTATCATTTCGTTTGGTGATTAAACTGTCAAACACCAAGCGGTCACCGGTGACCGCGACCTATTGTTCTTTAATTGTGTCTATAAAACCGGTACTCGACGAGTTAAAAGATGAAGATTTTTTTTTGTTTTATATTTTATAAACCTCGTGGAGCCCGAGACCTTTCCAACGAATGGAAAACCGTGGAAATCGGTTCGTGTGTTCTGGAGTTATAGCGTCAGGAAGGAAAACCCGACTTATTTTTATGTAGTAGATTAGGATGACATTGCATTCCTAGACAAACCCTTCTCAGTTTAAAAAAACAATTTCTAGTGACTCTATTCTTGTTGACTTTACAGTTTTATTTTTTGAATCGATCACATTAGTTACGCGACTGTGAAACAAGACTATAAAGTCCACGGGCTTCTCTATCTAAAACCTGAATTGATCTCACGATTTTACATTGAGATTGGTTATTGTGTGTTGCCATATTAATCAGAAATTGACCCCCTATTTATTACAAATCAAAACTCCATAAATATTTACAACTTAAAATTAACTACAACTAAACTAAAATAAAACGTAAAGTAAAAAAATGGGAACAACAAAATATATACCCTCAATTTAGGCGTCAAAGTACTCGTCCGCATCACTATCACAGGGGAGCGTTCCCAGGACACTGGCAGCATTGTCACGTTGAATGGCAATGCTTATTTTCAATGAAATCAAAACCGAACGAGAACTAGTGTATTTCTGCGACCCAGATAACGCTAGTGTGGAGGTCTTGTTGTTCGTCCAATAGGGTAGGGCTAGTGTCACATCATTGAACATTCAATATTGACAGCTGCAACAGAACTATTTGATTTGCGCCATCTAGTGAGCAAACGGTAGCCCTGATTGTATCCTATTACAAAACTCCCTGTAAGACGTCATCATCAAATCTGTTTACCCCAGGGAAGTACAAAGCGTAAGCAGTACTTCATATCTCTTAGACATTCCTCAGTTATCAGCGACAATTCCACTTAATGTGATTAGTACTAATGAGTGGCGCTAGCGTCGCGTTAGGGCTTGTCATTACACTACTCATTATTGGTTGATGGGTAATGTCATCGCTAATTTTGGACTGGCTAATTACCTATGTGTGTAATCTACTTCTTGAGTAGGTAAATTTATCGTAATAATGTAAAAATATCATAACGGCAGACTTTCTTTGAAGGGACAGGCAGTCCACGTTTTTTTACCGACTTCAAAAAAAGGAGGAGGTACTATGTACGGCTCGCTCGGAACGCTCATATCATAATGATAAAACTTAATGTCCCCAAAATTGTGAATTAGGTACCTATTAAGGTTTTAATTAATAATTTTGTATTGAACTTATGGCACCGACTTCTTACCTATCAGTAGGGGGGGGGGGGGTTACCTATCAGTACTAATAATAGTTATTTTTTGCTTTTTAGTTTTGATTTTTTGCTTTTTAGTTTTGACTTTTTGTTTGTTATTAGGTTTTGGTTTTTGGTTTTTTGAAGTCGGTTTTTTAAACGCAGTTTTTATTTTATTAGTGCAGAACTAACTTTATCCGATATTTGTATTATAACTTTCGTGGGACATACTAAATTCAATATCGACGGTTGAAAGGCTAATTCATCTGAGCGACATTTTTTTGCGATATTGTTAAATATTTAAAAAAATTGTCGCTTAGATCAAATTAGCCTTTCAACGGTCGTTATTATGATTTTCATCTTACTCATGGAATTATTTGACGAGGAACTCGACTAGTTTCAAGCCATTCTAGAGGCTTATATTCACGAGCAGCATTTCGCGACACACGTCGCGTCATGTCGTGTCGTCGAACAGTTTCGTGATTAAGTCGAAAAGCATAATTTTTTTCATTGCGTAATCCGGAAAACGAGCAGATGAGTCACCTGATGGTAAGCAATCGGCGTCGCCCATGGACACCTGGATTACCAGAGGCGTTACAAGTGCGTTACCGACTTTTTGGGGATTAGGAGTTTGAGGATCGTTGGGGATTCAGGGATTGGGGAGATTCGGGAAGGGGATTTATGTTTTTTTAATTATGTTATGGACCCCATATATTAGTAGAAAGCTTATTATTACGTTCCGGGCACTATTTCACACTCTATTATACTGTTACAACAGGCAAACAAGTAAACAGCAGAGTCAATCAGGATCCCGTATTACCCTTTAGGTTCAGTTTTTACGGTTCCCATAACCGTAAAAATGGAAGCTTTAGCTTGTGACATATTACCTTACCATTTAAATAATGTATGTACAAGTTAACAATATCCGCCGTTAATTCTACTTACCTTTAAAACAAATCTCCACAAACGTCCTAACCATATTTATATTTGTCCATACATTCAGTTTCTAAAAGCTTGCAAACGATGATTAGTAAAGGTTTAGCCATTTCCGAGTTTGAACAGCGCAAACACACAGACATGGGTTTTAGAAAATGAATTGTTTAAGTGTTTTACAAACACGGAAATGTACAAAACTTATTTCGTTTGTAGTAGGTAATTAGGTACTCATTCTTCTTAACAGGTTTCTTAATGGATACTAGCATATCAAGCTATCCTAAACGCTTAACAGATCTTCAACTATGTCTCTATGCAATAGAGTTGATAATTTATCGAAGATTTTGATGAGTTGTAGTCGGTTGATCTGCTGCAGCCTCTGTATTTACTCGAATAGTCAATTTGAAATGAATAATATTCTAAATTTACAGCACAACATTACATTGCACCGGAAATATATAGCTGGTGATTGTATTTACACTTACCTACATGGAATTCCATTAATTTTTAAAGCACGCAAATTGAAAACGCAAGCCATCACTGACGTCGCGGAGAATCTAACGGGTAACCGGGGCTCAGGCTCGAAGTGCAGGAGAAGGAACGGGGTGGTTTTTAGTCAGTAAGAGTCTGACACTCCCTCCCGCTGACACCATGGAGGGAGAAGTCATTCGATGATTTTTCCCCCTTAAAAAAGCCATTATTGAAACCTAACTAATGCTTGCAACACCAGAGTTATCACGAGTGCACAATAAAATTTACAGATTTTTTGGGATTCAGGGTCGGGGATTAGTGAGGTAATTGGTCATCTGCTAACCTCACTCACGCGACGAAACACAACGCAAGTGTTGTTTCACGTCTATTTTCTGTGAGGCTGTGGTATCACTCCGGCCGAGCCGGCCCATTCGTGCCGAACCATGGCTCTCCCACACTTAAACTTTATATCAATTTCATAATTACAAACCGTGATGAGCTCAACTCAGTAACTTGATTTATTATTGTATCGCGTTTTAACAATTGCATATTTTTAATAGCATTATGCCAATTACCCTGAATACCATCAGAACTCAGCCGACCACCCGTTGCGATGAGCGTGAAGCTATAACAATACTAACGGTATACAGAAGCACATAAATCGATTCTAATGACCAACTGTCAAATCTTATTCCGTCGATTGTGAGAAATGAAATTAGATTTTAATTAATTAGTAAATTACATGATAGATTACTTTGCGCGGTGATTGGACGACTCGATACTACGCCATGAGCCGCAAAAGCGATTATAACTATAAATATAATAATATAACATCACGCCTTTTATGCCCGAAGGGGTAGGCAGAGTTGCACATTACGGCACATAATGCCACTGTGCAATGTAACACCCACTTTGATAATGAGTCCCATGTAATAGGGGGTGAGCCTATTGCCATATACAGGGCACAATTCCAGACTCCGTGCAACTACTGAGATTTTTTTAAAACCCAGTAATACTTTGCCCGGCCCGGGAATCTAACCCGAGACCGGAATTATAAGCCCAGCTTTCCTCTCAATGTTTTCCTTCACCGTTTGTCAGTAGTATCTGTATAATCTTAGAAAGTCACCCTCATGCATGAGAAGCGGGCGTCTTAAACCTCCGGGCCACCACGATATAAATGACAACTTTTGCTAATGCAATGTTTCCCGAACCCCCTGCATCATTTTATGTAATAACAGGAACAAACCCGTGACC